GGCCGGGCCGCCGCCGCCCCCTCGCTCCGGGCCGGGCCACGGTGGGGCCCCGGAAGCCCGCGGGTGTCCGGGGCTGCGGCCCGGCCTTCTCGGCGGGCGGCTGGGGCGAGCCCGGGCCTGGGTGGCTGCGGTGCTGTGCGGGCTGCCCGGGCTGCTGTGCGGGTGTCGTGTCCCCTCCTCCTTTTCTCCCTCCCTTTTTTTCCTGTTTTTTTCCCGTATTTTTTCCCTCGGGGTGGCCCGGCTCTCTGCGTCCCAGCGGGATGCGCTTCTGTGTCAAAGTCACAGGAACGGGAAAGTGTCCTGGAGCAGTTCAGGCTTCCATTTTGAAATCCGACCAATAATGGGATCCTCCTCCGTCCTTCTCCCTCCCCAGCTGCCCCGCCGTGCCCTGCCCGGGCTGTGGGGCCGGGGGTGCCGTTATTTACATAAACAACTGCTGGCACCGGCCGCTCCGGGGCTCGGGCGTGCAGGAATTGCACAGAAATGCCGGCAGACCTGGCGGGATTCGAGTTGCAGCTTATCAGACCGGCACTTCCTGGGCGAAGTGGATGTGATTAAAAATCGTTTGYAGATTGTTTCTCCCCTTAGTTCGCAGTTGTTGCAGTGTCTGTACTAATGCGTTACCTGCCTGTCGGGGTTGCAATTGTCCTTCATAAAGTCTTTCACAGAGTGGAAGATTTTAATATCAGGCAGTGCTTTTTCACTTTGCATGCAGAATTAATTGCCCTTTATTAATTTTGCCTTATTGCTCTTAGTTATAACTCTAMAAATCCCCCAAACCAGTGCTCTCAATCTCTTTTTACTTGCACTATGGAATATGAAATAATTTCCCAGGAATAGCATTGTTTGTAAACAAAAGTTGAATGTCTACAACTCTGATACTCTTGTCATAAACCCATCACTTAGGTCTTACTTTAGCCTTTTCTGGGCTTATTTTGATTCATTTTTTCCCCCCCAAATGCAGTAAATTCACAGAAGAGCATTTCTCTTGCCATTACACTTGATCTTTATTTTTACTCAGTGGAGTTAAGTTTTGAGTGGTTTTTTTTGGGGTTACAGAAGGCATATTCTGTTTGAACTTAAGATTATTTTTCTGTTCACAGCTGAARGAATATCAGCAGAAGAACAGCCCTGGAGCAACTGCAGGAACTAAGAAAAAACGCAAAACTAAAGAAGGCAGCAGACCTGCCACTCCCACCACCGATGACCAGCAGCCTCCAGAGAATGTGAGTGCCTCGTTCTTTCTCCCAAATTATTTGCCACTTCCCTGTTCTTTGGTTTTCTGGACAACCTGACCRGAGCTGGGAAGTGGTGGTGCTGGGGTAAAAGCTGAGTGGTGTAGGTGCTGTATGAATTGTTCTAGAGCCGTTGGCAGCTGCCTGTGCTGGAAGGTGCAGCTGGAGTCGGGGTCTGTCTGATGGTGTCCTGGGTGTGCCCAGAGCTGCTGGGCTGAGGCGTGTGCTCCCGATGAGCTGGACGAGGTTCTTTAGCTGCCTTGGATTGATGTTTTCTCTCTGTCCTTCTCTGAGCCATTTCTCTTTCCCCTTTTCTTTCACCTCCTGTAGATTCAGAACATTCTGAAGGTGCTGGTGTCAGACCTTAACCGCTCCAATGGGGTAGCCATACCCTCATTGGACAAGAGGAAGGTGAGGCAGTGCTCGTGCCCCTTGCAGTGACTCGCTCTCCCTCCCGCATGCTTCGGGTTCTGTTCACACTGAATTCCATCTCCAGGATGGAGCCATGTCCTCACACATCCATTGTCGGTTGCTTCAGTTTTGTTGCTGTTTTTATTAACATGGAGCTMTTTGTTACCATTGCTCGTTAAGTGCTTGTTTCCTTCTGGTTTGTGTCAAAGTTAACACAACAAAAAGTGAACCATGTCAGAAACTCTTTCCTTTTGGCAGCTGAGCTTTGAGGAAAACAGGAATTTGAGGTGAGGCAATAAACTGACTTAACAACTGAGGAAAACTGCACTAGGAAGGGGTTGTTATTCTGTATTTCTCCTGCTCTGAGTGTCATTGCTTTGTTTTCTGGAGCTTGGTTTCTGAAGAGCACGTTTTGCTCATCTCTAGGCAAGCAGCTGCCCTGGCTGGTTATTCCAGCCACCCCTTTCATGACAGGCAATGAAGCTGGCACAGGTRATGTACAGTCTGGCAAGTGCCAGAGGTTTAAATATGCTTAGGCAGGAAGTCACATACTTCAAAGCCAGGCATGTACAGGCTTTAGCGTCTTCACATTCCCAAGATCCTGAAGAGGAAAGGGCAGGAACTATGCCAAGAGGCAAGAAAAAGGTGTTCGGGAGCATACATGAGCAAACGGCCTTTTTTAAATATTTATTTTCAGACAGTCAGTTTATTTAAAATAAAGCTCAAACTGTGATAAGAACTCAGAGAAGTCAAATTTTGTAGCCCAGAATGTTYTTCCAGTTTTATTGTACCAAAGCTCTGCTTTTCATTTTCACTTGAATCATTTTGGTAGCTTATTTCCCTAGCATTGTTTCAATCTAGTTGTCATAAAGAATCTCATASTTATATATACTGCATATCCATGTGTCTCCAGCACTAAATACAACTATATCACATGAGGTACCTGACAGWTAAATTTAAATCTGCAAGATGGAATGGAATTCCTTCTGAATTGCTTTGTATCTTTTTTTTTTTTTGTGTGTATGATAATACATCCAACACACAAAGTTCCTCCAGCTGGACCAYGTACATATAGGTTCTGCATCAGCAGAACACAAGTGGTGTGAAGACACACTGCCAGSTTTGGGGTGCTGGATGTGCCTGTCTGGCCTCAGAAAACTTCTGTTGTGACTGAAGTGTCACTGTTGTCCTGGGGACTATTTTCAGTTMATACGTGTAAGCTCAGAGTAAGTTAAATCTTGGAGAAAGAGACTTCACGTTGGAGGGTGAGATGAAGATGTGTGGTCCAGTACTGTTGCTGAGGTGACATTTAGCCTTGTAGTAAAGGCCTACCTGTGTCTACAGCTTTAGTTGTGTTCTGTAATTGGAGAATTTATTACTCTATTCATTCTTGTTTCCGCATCTTTTTTCTCTTTTCCTCAGAGATACAGTTTGATCTGATTGGCTGATATGGAATTTTTAGATTGTTGTGTCTGGAGTTTTAGAAATTATTTCAAAACTAGTATTTAATTGCAATATGTAATGAAAGAAAGAATTCTCATTCTGGTTGCTRTCTCCTAAAAATCCTGAGTCAGGAAAATGCTGTTCAGAAAGTTGACACTAATAGGGCAGAAAAGCTGATCATTGGCAGCTGAGCTRCTGCTGCCATTGGTGTCTGATGTGAGGCAGAGCCCTCCCTTCTCACTCACTTCAGCTTTCTTGGCTCTAAAACACAGGAAAAACAGCAAAATAGAAGCCTTTGTGTGAAAGCAAACAGATCCTACTATATGCTAAGCTGAGCAGAATTACTGACTTTTTTCTATATTATTGGAATGTCACAATGCATAATTTCCATATAAATGTTTTKCTTCTAATGCTTTCTGTTTCCAACAAATTTGATTATTCAAATGGTTTTGGGGCTTTTRAAAGTTTATTACGAAACTGCTCCTTGTGAAAAAAAAAGAAGGAAAGAGTTCTTGTGGCTAAGGCATGTTACTGGTTTCTGCATCTTGGAGTATTAGGCAAAAAGAATGTTCTTATCAGAAGAAATTATAATTTTGAGATGTACAGGGGAATGAATTCCTCCTGTCTGTCTGATGATTATATTGATGAGTGTGTGATTGATAAAGGTGAAGTAAACTTTAGCTGGAAGAAGTAAGGGAATTCCAGACTTCCCTATAAGTACATAACATATATTGCT